CTTACACTCCAGTTTTCTCATGTTAATAGAGATGCAATTAAGCACAAGAGACCGAGCTACTCAAGTCCAGGTCAGATCAGAAACTTCTGTCTGCAAAGACAGAAAAAAACCCACATTTTACACTATATCCATTCACTACTTAATTTGTGGTATTGGCTGACTGATTGGCTCATTATAGAAAAAGAACAGTTTGCTGGTCAGCACAGCTACATCTGTATCTGTTAATTCAAAACCTCTCAGTGACATTCCCAGATATTGTCATCAACTATACTAATAAACTCTTAAAGCATTTTCTGACAGGGATTTGGCCTTTTCTCTGTGGACAACCCCAAGCCTGGTATGGCAGCTGGAATATTTTAGGGACTGCTCCCAGCAGGCGGTTTCAATGCAGCTGCCATCTTGTGAAGTTTAAGACATTTACTAGCAGAGTGATGACAGCTGCCATCTCAGCACACAGATGTTTGGTTTATTTATACAATCGCTCACCAATTTTTAATTCCTTCAGAGTTTAAACCCATCTCTGAAAAGAAGAGTTTTTCAGAGGTGCGTAGCTCAGAACATGTGGTGTTCCCTCCCAGTTCTCTAAGTGTGATCACGAAGGTGTCAAACCATTCATAAATTTAATTTCCTTTAGAGTTTTTGTTTGAGATTTCATTTTCATTAGCGTTATTTTACTATCCTCAGTGACATTATTGTGTTTTGACCTGGCATAACAGACAGAAAAAAATCCATATTGTTTAAATAAAGTAGAAGTAATGAAAAATCTTATTACTAAAGCTGTTAAGATGAAATATTAGATATTCTCTCATGTAAAAAAAGTACAATTGTTTTATAAACTCCACAGCCCAACCTGGCTTCAGGTCCCTCTGCAAATCTGTTCTGGACAGTTACCTTACAGATATCCTGTTTTGGAATTCCACGCAGCGTGCAGTAATAATAAAGATGCTCCCAACCCGTTAGAAGTTCATCCAGGGCATCTTGCTGTGGACAATAGCCGATGAGAATGCCTTCAGAGCTAGCAGACAGTATATCCATTTCTGACCTGTTTAAAGAAAAAGCAAAAGACTTGAATGTTGTTTAAAAAAACCCACAGCCCTGGGTTTCACCCTTGGGATACAGAGCCTTCAAGACAAAGACACTTACTCTCAACTCCGTAGGTAAATGGGTTTGAATCTCTTCACTATGATCACTTACCATAGTACCACCCCCATGCAATGCATGCTTCTTGTCCCTTTTGGGTTAGCACTGCCACCCATGCCTCACTCTTCTAACGGGGCACATGTCAAAGTGAACAGATCAACACAGAAGGAGAACAGATCTATGAGAATTCATTCTTACCAGGTTTACCTCCCTTATCTCTTTGGTAGACCCTGCTCTAAGGAGACATATTTCAAAACCATACTGCGTGCATCACGTTCAATATTAAAGGGGCAGTGGTTGAGAGAGAGGGAGGGAAATGTTGCTGTGTATTCTTTGTGTGTCTGTGCACACACATGTGCATGCATGCATTCTCTAAACAAGAGTAAAACAAACCACTGAATATTAAAGCCTAGTAGGTTAAAAGACAATACAGGAAAAAACATAAAATAATCCTTATTTAAGAGACTTTGGCCATCGCTTTGTAGCTGTATGGCATTACTTGAAATTACATTCATTGCTAAGAAGCAAGCTTGATTGCAAGGGTGTCTCATTACCCATAATGACACTAAATCTATCCTATTTATTCCAACACCTAATTCAACATTCAGTGATGCTGATTTACATGTACAGAAAAGGCCTGTCAAAATTAAGATACTTAATAATAAAAAAATCTGAGCTTTGAAAGAAAAAAAAATTTAAAGGGTTCTGAGTAACAGAATGGTTTTCCCCTTAGTGGTTTTCTACATTTCTGGTTAAAAAAAACCCTAAATATATGATTAATCATTTAGACACAAAGTAAGTGTATTAAATGCAGGATCTACAAATACCAACACTAATGAAAATATAAATATGTATCTCCTGTTAATAAGATTCAGGAATCTGAGGAGAAAAAGAGAACACAAATTCTGCATTTTACATAATGAACCACAGCATCAAAATATATTTTAATGCTATCAAAAGATAAATTATCATGATTATTATGAACCTTGCTGGGGACTAATTAGAATGGTCCTTTGCTCTTAATGGCAAAGATATAAAATTTTAGTATCTTTGTAGGTTTGGATGGTGCCAAGGAAGTTAACGGTCTGTAGACATCTCTCTAGAAAAAGACTTAGCAAAAAAGAAAAAGGGTGATAGGGGAAAGAGGATACCAGAAGTGTACTTCCTCATTAATATATATCCACTTATAGGTTATTTTAAATGAAATATATGCAGAATTTTTACCAGCTCAGTTTCCAGCCATACCTAAATCAAACTAAGTTATTTTTAAAGTAATCTTTACCATAAGATATGGATTGATTAATGTTGATCTTTTTGCATGAAGTGTCAGAAGCTGTGTATTCCTTATTTAATGAACTCTAACGTAGTGAAACACTATCCACAGTGAAATGCTATCTAGATGCTGCTGAACACAGAGAGCTGTCTGAGGTTTGTTTTACTAGGAAGATTCAGGCACACTAACAAGTTTTCCTTTTGGTGCAGCTGCTGTCTTTAGAGAAACTAGAGACTGGGCTTTTGGCAATACGCCAAGTTCAGTCACAAGAGAACAAATCACACTCAGGGGTAATTTCAGGGACTTTTACTCAGCATGAACCCTGTAGCTGGATAAGGTGCATCTAAGTCTGGAATGGGTCCGTACCATGAAGAACAAAAAATAAGTATGCATGGCTGCAAAAAATAACAGACATCTAATGTTCTTTAGCTAGAATTGCATTAGACAATAGTTACTCCATTTGCATCAGGAAATAAAAACACATCAGTGTCCCCAGTGCTAATTGTACAGATACGATTTTCATGTTGTGCCTCCTGTAAAGCACACAGCCTTAGATAAACAATATCCCACCCACTGGCCTTTAGCTTTCATAAAGGAAGAGTACAGTGAGAATAGATCATTTAATATTCTTATGGAGTTTGGTCCTTATCTTGCAACTTTATCCATTAGTGCTGACCTTGAACACTTAAAGAGTTCCCATTAATACAGAGATTCTAATGTATTCACTAAAAACTCACAGACCTAATTTTTTCCCATCTCTGTATCTGTCAAAGCAGAAAATAATCTGACCAGAGGTAAAAAAAAATCCATATGAGGATTCTGGTCTTTTACTGAGACTTTTTTGGTATGTATAGTACAATGCTTATTCCCTCAGCAGTATCACTGAGCAGATTTCCAAATCAAAAAGCTGGAGATCATCCTTCAGTTTTGTTTAGCCAGGTCCTAAGTTTTTTCTGAATATTGAAAGAATAGATGAAAGAAAACCACAGTGTAATTTTTAATTATAGTACATATCTTACAACAGAAAACTTCCCTCATCTCTGGAAACTGATTTTCCTTGAAATTCAGTTAATCTTTCAGATTTCATTCTCATGGTTCTAAATGAAATGAACATTTCAAGCAGTGATGGCATGATACCAGAAAAACTTTTCACTAAATGATATATTGTAAATGCTCTTCTTTTTTTTTTTTTTTTAAATTCTGATGCCATTCATTAAACTAATTATAATCATCTTCTTCCTTAACAAACATCTTCATATATGATGTTATCAGAATCAAATTGGAAAATATTTTTTTAATATTTTCTGAAATGTATATTAGCATGCAGCAAAATGCTGATTTTTTTTCCCAAGCTGGAGAAAAACAGACGTTTGTTTTCTGTCCTTTTGTTATCAGCATGCTAGTATTTCTCATTAGGCCATTCATATAAACAACAGGACATACAGGAAGAAAAAAATCAGCTCTTTTTATAAATAAAGAAAGAAGGAACATATAAGTTCCAATCCCCTCTCAGCCTCTGTGATTCTTTTTGTCCATAGTACAGTAGACATAATGAATTCCAGTGTAATATCTAAAAACTATAGGCAAGAAACCAGACTCTTACACTAATACAGGACTTTCCGTACCATTATAAAAACACTGAGTAATTGTTATCTTTAAATTCTATTAGCAACTTTGATTACATATCCTGATCAAGTTAAGACATAGAACTAACATGGAAGACGAGTTTTCTCCTTCCTAGTGAAGACTTCATTTTTAGACTATGTTGTTATCCTTAATCAATACTTCCATTTACTATTTGATTTTTTTCCTTTAAAGTGGAACAGCTGCAACAGACAAAACCAACAGAACATGTCCAGAAAACTTTATATGTTAAACAAAATTTTAGAGTTGTAAAATTACATTTCCAGTACAGTTTCGGAAAAGGTCAACAGAATGTATGGCATCCTCAAGAAAAATAGCACAGTCCAGCACGTGAAGCATGGAAGATATTGTATTCCATCCATTTCTAAGTGCTTTGGTCTCCACTTATACAGTGAGAATTATGATACTTCAGTGCAAATCATCCTGAAAAAAAATCCAGGACTCAAGGAGGCTTCCTTAAGTTTGGAGTGTTCATCTTACAGAATTTTGTACTGCTGATGAAAGAAACTTGCCAGACTTGCAAGATACGGGGGGTAATAAACTAAACTCTAAGGGGCTAAAAGTTTTTATTCAGAGCTGTTCCTCCACTGATCATTTTAAGGTCTTTTACATTGATCCATTTCTTTTGTACGTTGAAAGAAACCCCTGAAATCTGATTCCAGCCCTGAAGGCTACATTGGGGTGGCATGAGGCACTCCAGTCAGATAACCTTTGCTGGCACTGAAAAGAAACCAAAACACTGGAACGAGCAAGAATGATCTTGGACAAAACCTGTTGCCTTCTCCTGCCTGAACTGGACCTGTAGTTTCCAGAAGGCTAGGCTAGTTATTGAAGAGACTAGATTTGGTTCTTATTTGTTACAGTGGTTACCAGCAACATAGCTTATAGGTAGCTGTAAGCTGACATTCAAAGGTACACCTCAGTTTCAAGTTCCAGAGACAGCTTAGTACCCTCAATAACAGCCTTATGGCTGTTTTTGGAAAAATTGTTTCACTATTGACTCCGCTGTGCACTTTGCTTCAGTTTTGTATGCTTTTTCTGCAGTTTTTGAATGCAGTTAAAATAAAGGTAGTGATATATATGGTAGTTACAATGGTTTTTGTAGAGAGATAAATTCCATTAATTAGTCAAAATGAAATATAAATTTACAAATTGCAAAAGCAGTTAGACATTCCATTGTATTCTTAACTGTACATTCAATTCAGTGCATACTAATGCTCAATTAACATTATAAAAAAATCAAGGTTAAAATATAATTAATGTAACTATAGCTTAGTTATAATTAAACTAATTATACTGATATACAGTGTAACAACAGCTTTCTCAGCCATTATATTAATGTAAATTTATTCTGCCTTTCAAGTAAAGCTATTTGAATTACATTTTTAATTATTTATCAAGCTGAATATCATAACTATCAAAAGAGTCCAAGTTCTCACTATAAAGAAATATTTTACTTTCCCCTCTTTGGAGAGCAGTTCTTTGGTCCTACGACTTTTTAATCCAACAGCTGAGATGGCTGACAATTCAAATAGGATGGGGAGCTGCTGTCATGGAGGATCTCTCTGTGCGGAAGGAAGATGGAAATTCATGGGAGATAAATTAATTACATTGTCCTGGTTTCGGCTGGGGTAGAGTTAATTTTCTTCCTAGTAATGACTATAGTGCTGTGTTTTGGATTTAGGATGAGAATAATGTTGATAACACACTGATGGTTTAGTTGTTGCTAAGTAGTGCTTACACTGGTCAAGGACTTTTTCAGCTTCCCATGCTCTGCCAGGTGCACAAGAAGCTGGGAGGGGGCACAGCCAGGACAGCTGACCCAGACTGGCCAAAGGGCTATGCCATACCGTATGACATCATGCTCAGCAGATAAAGCTGGGGGAAGAAGGAGGAAGGGGGGGACATTCAGAGTGACGGCGTTTGTCTTCCCAAGTCACCGTTACGTGTGGTGGAGCCCTGCTTTCCTGGAGATGGCTGAACAT